ATACACACACGTTTTACTCATGTTTCTTTCCTTGTTGCCCTTGAAATTTTCTTCTCTGTTTATGTAGTAGTCTGTGTGAGAAGGCCTCAAGCCTCAGAGTGGCATTAGACTCAACTGAGAAATGAAAAGTTAAAAATAATGAGCTAAGATGGTTGAATTCCTGGCTCTGGAGCAGATGCCCTAGTATGTCCTGAGAGAGTAATTTACTCTGAATCTATAAAATGAAGACAGTGCTTCGTCCCTGCCCCTATTTCCCTCCCTTTATTTTAGTTATAAACACTGAGCCATAGACTCTCAGCATGTTTATCAAGCACTTAACTCAGTTAGGTCATGGGCTTTGTAGCACCCAGCAACCCAGAGGCAAAACATGTCAGAAGAAGGGGGTTTGGTGTGATAATATTGCAACAGGCCTGATCAAAAGGAGTAGCATGACAACAGAAATAGTAGTTCAAAAGCAAAACAATGTAATCAAGAGGGAAATGTGGTGGCTGAGTGAAATGGGAAATCTCTGGTGGTGTTTCCATCATGAGGAGGTCAAGACAGACGAGGAGATCAAGAAATGCAGGACTTTGTATCAATCGTTGCCTTGTGTATCTCAGGTTTCACAAAGGCTCTTTCCATCAAAGTGCTCTTTTAATTAACAGTCTGATTTATAACTGTCTGTAGACTGATTTTCTTGATTAAACAAAGAAAACCTAAGTTTCTGAAAGTGGGGTGAGTGATTAGATTAATTTGTAAGATAAACAAGCCATGTATCTCATCACTTTGCACTTGACCTCCAACTTCATTGCTTGGGCACTGAATTGCTGGTCATTGAGAAAACATTATCTGATATCTTGTGGCTACATTTGCACACATACACTTAGGATTTTTTGGACCACACCTTGTATTTAATGGAGCTTTCTTCTTCAGAGGAGATTGCCCTGTCTTTAAAATATTTGTTGTCTTTCTACTCCTTAAATTCAGCATCTGTTGTATAATTTCTCAGTGGCACTCAAGAAAACAGAAAGGCTTCAAAAAAAAAAATAGTAAATATGTTTAAATGTACCCCCCCCCCAAAAAAAAAAAAAAAGTGATCTTCTGCTAGACCAGAAGTCTCCATTTGTTTCACCAAGAATCCTGAAGTTCCTACTCAGCAAGAATGTTCTTAAATGCTCTGAAGTAAAAATAACTGTGCTGTGTTCATTTAACAGGGAACAGGAGGCCAGGATCCCCTTTTTAAGAGTATAAAGGGTTTTTTTAGTAGAAGGGTGTTAGTACTTGAAAGCTGTCTAGCCACACAGCTCAAGAGTTCAGCATGAACTCTATCTTTGGAGAAGGATTCACATGAATTTTGGGCAGGATTTTTGGTCTGCACAGAGCTAAGTGTTGTTTCTACCAAAGAGCTTAAACCTCATGCAAGAGCATCTATCCTTAGAGAAAGGTTAATGGTAAAATTTAGACAGAAGCATGTAGATGTAGATGTGAACATAGCAACTTCTGTTTGTTGTTGTTGTTGTTTGTTTGTTTTGTTTTTGTTTTGTTTTCTTCTGAGACAGTCCCGAGCTCTTTTCTATTTAAAGAAATGGAGGGAGGGTGGTAGAATATTTACTTGGTGTTGTAAGACAAGCAAAAAATACTAATTTCATGGAAAGATAATCAAGTCCAGCAATGTAGGCCTTTCATGTGTTGAAGGCAGACTTGCAATGAAGCAGTTTTCGCTTTCACATTAGCCAGCAGAGGGAGTATTGCAACGCCATGAAAGTAGATAGCTTCAAAGTGCAGGGAAGCTGCTTTTGAGTCTGAATTTTTTGCTGTTCATGTCCAAATTTTATTTGCCCTATTAAATTGTTTGATTGACAAATAAATTATTTTTAATATATTTTAGAACAGTTACATTATTAATTATTGATATATTTTATTATTTTACATTTCAAGAGTGAACCTATGTAGTTAATGCTTTTGCTAAAATACAGGATTTCTTTTGATGCAAACAGGCTGTCAGTTTTGGATGTACCTGTGAGAATATATCTACAAATATTTTCTTAATAGTTATGTCTGTTATTGCTACATCAATAAAAATGTACTTCTGGCGCAAACGGCAGTTCTTGCATATTATCTTCTACTTTTACTTCAGTAAATCTTTATGCCTCTTTGCTGCCTCATCATTTCATCTGCTGGGCAGACCTCTGGCTGAAGCTAAAGCAGTTCTGAGGGATTAGTTGGTGAGATGCTTGACCTGCAGCACAGTAAGAGACTGGAATGCAGCTTGCATTTATTAAACGGAGCATGTATTTGCGCAAGCTGAGCCTGACCAGGCTCTTTATTGCAGCCTCTAGATGGCACCCAGACGATGCGGTTGTAGAAACTACTACTACACCTCAGCCAACACGTTTTGGCTAAGATTTCTGCTAAGCAGTATGCGGTAGTAGAAGTGTTAATGTCGAAGCAGGGAGGTAATGGTTTTGGCTTTGGGTTACAACAGTGTTTTCATGTTGGAACTGGCTTGCTGAAAGGAATCAGAGAAGCTGTGTGGAGTGCAGCAGGCCACCTGCTTGTGGCATTTTTTGCTGATGTAGTCCTCTACTAACCAATTATCATTGGGGGGGTCCAGATTTACCTCTGGAGCCAGGTTGCTGGGCTGTAATGTTGAAGCATTCACTGAACAGAAGTGGAATGCTTCACTCGAGCTGACAGGAGGGGAAATGTACTGAGTTTTTGCCAACTGCTGTTAAAATATTTTGATACTCCACTGGTTCTGCACAATTTTGTGGCCTTTGCTTGCAACCCCATCTCCCTCTTGCCTTCATCTGGCACTACCACCTTGAGCGGTGGTAGCTGCCAGAGCCTTATGCAATTGCTTGCATAGTCCTACTGATTTTGGAATTGCTTAGCTTTTTGGAGGCTTTCTAGTGGAGGCATTAAATAAAACTAGAGCAGGACACTTACACAAAGGACATCTGAAAGTTGTTTCCTCGTGCCGCTGTTAGCGTAATGCAAGTTCTCACAAATACTGGCTTTGAGATTTTCTTTTTCAGCAAAAAGTAAGTGCATTGTTTGGGAGAAATAACAAGCTCCCACGTCTCTTGCAGAAGAGGGAGATGTATTGTTTTAGTGACTTTATGAATCACACAGAATCACAGGGTGGTTGAGGTTGGAAGCCTGTTCCAGTGCTCTGTCACCTGAACCATAAAGAAGTTCTCCTTCATATGATGACGAAACCTCCTGTGGTGCAGTTTAACTTGGACTGCAAGAGATCTATGTCCTATTTTTTTTTAATGTAATTCATAATTATCCTTGGGGACAGTTGGGCATCTTCATTACTTTGTTCCTACTTGCCTGAACAGTTCTTATCTTAGTTTATTGCCATCTGTAAATTTGTGCTCAGCACACTGTTGGAGAGGCAGTGCTGTTACTGCTGAACAGCTGCTGCTGTACTCACTGCTGTGTGAGCCAACTGCTCACGGTTCATGCTGCTCAATCATTATGTGAAATGCTAGTCTGTGCTGCCTTAATGCTGCTCATATCTGTCCTGGTGGTAGTGGGACTTGACTTTACGCAAGGACCTCCATTATGTGTATCACTGACTGCATAAAGTAAAGGACAAGTTGCTCTATTGGTTACGTGACTCATGCTGCAGTTATGTTGCAATATGGTCAGGTTTAGTTGTGTGGACTTGGAAGTGTTGAATCCTGCCCTCCCTCCTCCATTCAGTTAATATTTTCCTTCTTTTGTCAAGAGAAAATACCAGTCTTCTCATTGAGGCTTATCAGAGGTGTCTTGAGTGTTCAAAACTGGATGAGGGAGAAAAAATATATATATTTTTATTTTTTTTTCTTTTTCCAGAACTGACGGATCTCCCTTCTCTCTCCAACTTTTTATCTGTTTCAAATCTATCCTGTTTCTTTGGCTTACCACAACTCCCACTTGGAAATAACCCTATTTTCCTAGTGACTTACCTTTTCCAATTCACCCTGAGTGTTTTGGATTCTATAATCGTAAACTCTGTGACATGCCCTTTGCTGTGATTTGGAATTTGACTTCCCATAAATGTGAGGTCTCCTCTGTGATGAAACACTCTGATGAAGGTGACATGTGACTGAGGCCAAGGGACCTTGTGTTCTTATTTGGTGGCTGCTGCTTATTTGTGTGTTTTTAGAAAAGTCTTTCACTGTTCATTACTTTTTTTTTTTTTAAATTTGATACATCTGGAGAACTTCTGACAATAGTTGTACCTGAAGCTGACAGAGAGCAAGTACTATTTTTACTTCAATAAATCTTGTTGTGATTTCATTTGCTGCATTATATTTGAGAAATAAATATCCGGGTTTCTTTCTGATGGTTAAAGACGAAGATTGACACTATCCCATGATGCGAAAAAGACATTTCCTAATGTTGATAGTATGGTTTTGATCTTTTTGCTTTCAGTCACTGATTTGGATGTGCTCTGATAACTGAAATATGTAGTGCTCCTGGTATAAGCCTTCTGCAAAATGACATCAAAGACTTCTTTCACCTTTGGTTCAGGCTTTGGTATGGGTAGTATCCAGTTATCTAAGTGCAAGACCATTCTGTATATATTTGTTACATTTGTGTAATTTGGACAATGATGATCACTTCTCTGTTTTATGGCATAAACTGCCTCCTTAGATTTGAAGATGGATCAATTAGAGCTTTTAGATCTACTGGCAAGGGATGTTTTCCATTTGACTTATTTGAATGTGAAATGTGTTTTGGTAGTGAGCTATGAAAGCTGTAGCCAAAAGTTAAATTTTGGCCTCTGCATAAATAAATATTAAAATGAAAAAACAAACAAACAAACAACAACAACAACAACAAAAAAGCATTAATTAAGAAGCAGTAAGAAAGAAAAACTAAGAAATATGAAGACCTCAGGACCATCAATAGGTAAAATGTCAAGTATAACTTCTGAAGATACCAGTGTGTGTTAAATCCATTGTGTTTTTAAGTTCCTTTTCTAATAAATCATTGTTAAATAATTCTTTGCTGTTTATTCATAGACCCCAGAGCCAGTTGACAACTACATCAGTGAAGGCGAGTTTGAAGATGATCTGAGTTCTTCTACTCCAAGCACAATAGAGTTGGAGATACGAGGATCCAGCCAAGACACAGATGAAGATTATTTTGAGACCCTGTCACATCAGAGTGGATCTTTGTCAGATGTAAAAACTGAACCTTACGAGAGTGCATCAGAGACAGAATCTGTTGCCAGTGATGTAACTGGAGAAACTTGTTTGGATTCAAACTGCCTTTTTACAGAAAAACCAAATCTGTGCTGTAGTCTTCCTAAAGCAAAGGCAGAAACAACCTTCCATGAACTTAAGTGCTCAAGGCGAACAGAATTTAGCTGGCAGGTGCAGTTAGAAGCGTCTTCCAAAATAAAAATAGCACCAAGCAAACATGAATTACAAACTACAAAGTCAGAAGGTGAAGTGGGTGTTGAAGATCTAACATTAACTAGCAGTATTTCCAACACAGAGAACCAAGTGAGTGAAGAGGGCATTTTATCACAGACAGACAGAAAGTTTGTAGTGGAATTGCTGAATAAAACAGATTTTGAAAGCACTGAAGTGCAGTCCTATCCCAATTCCTTACCTACAGAAGCTGCTGTTACAAGACAGGAGGAACAACCTGCAGTATTAAGCATTGCTTGTTTCAAAGCTAACTCAGGAAGTTGTTTGATTTTTCCTGAGGTACAGCAACTTTCCTTCCAGACAGATGCAGCATCAAGCTGTAGTTTGCCTAATCTTCATTTTGAAACAAATGGACCTTACCATGAAAGTTACACTGAGATATCTGACTATAGATGTGGACTAGATTCCATGTCCAGTATAAAATGCAACAGGAATAACTCAGTTGACAGTGAGAAAACTACAGGTAACAGGATAAAACATGGAAGTACAGAAACCATGTTGACATCACATTCATTCTTCTACCAGCGCCACTTCAAATCAAAATCTCCACCTTGTGGGTCACTACACACAAGGTCAGAGGTTACAGGATGTAAAACATGGCACAGTGTGCCTGAAAATATCAGTGCTCAAAGAAAAGCAGAATACTTTGGGAACTGTATTCATCCAGCAGACAAATTGAGTTGGTCGTGTTCCAGAATACATCATCAAGGGCTTGATTTTGAATGTGCTTGGAAAAACTTAGCAAGGGTACCTGTTGGCCCTGAAAAGGCAATAAAAATAGAGGACAAATTTGACATAAAACAATTCCTCCTTAATAATGACATAGACTTGAATGAGGGTCAGCTTTCTCAACCAGCAGGCTCCCCACAGTGTGTTGATGTATATTTGAACTCTAAACCAGAGGCATGTGGCCTTAGCCCAGAAGCAGGAAATACATGTGCTGGTAGCTTATCTTCAACCCAGACAGATGCATGTGAGTGTAATCCAAAACAAAAGGAGACATCATCTGCCCTGGACTGTGAACCAGGGATCATAAATGCTGAAGAACTTCTAAAAAGTACTCAGTACAATGCTGAAAGAGGTCTGGAAGCGGATCAATTCCCTTGTGATACTAATGTTGAATTTGGCAATTTTGACACTGAAAACCTAGCAGCTTGTTGTGTAGGTTTTCCTGCTGTTGTGGAAAACAGAGATTGTAATTGTTCTATAAACTGTGTTTCCTCTAGTAGAACGCAGAAGAAAAGTTTGAAGGAAAATGTCCAGGAATCTGAACTATCACATGTGGCAGTCATGGCAGGAGGAAGACAAGTAGACAATCCTTCTAACCTTGACTTCGATTGGAAAGTCCCAGAAACTGCGTTACCAGGTGGCAGTAACACAGAGGCGGAGCACAGAGATTCAGTGCATCAAAATACAAATTGCAAAACTGGTGCCTTAAGGAGTCAGTCTGAACCAGTAGCAAATGAACATCCTATTCATCAAGGAAAGGATGAGGACAGTTTCTTTGCTGTGGAAATGACTCCCAAATCAGATCATGTAAGCCAGGGAAGGCACTTAATGAAACTTCCAGAGCTAAAGCCTGCCCTGGTTATAATATCTGTGGAACAGAAAGGATTACAGTCCAAGACACTGACTGATGACCTTCATACTGAAAGGGTAACCGGAACACTGAGAAACACAGTGAGCAAGGACTCAGTGTCTCCTCATACTTCCAGCAAAGATCATGATGAGCCAGAGGGAGTTCTGAGTGAGTGCTGTAACTGTGAAGAACAAATTTTGGCCACCCGCACCTTTGTTGGTAGTGTAGAGCTACTCCCTGTTGGGGATACGGCTGAAGGAAAAGCAGAAATTTCACAAGAGCAAAGCAAGAAAACAGATTCATCCTTAGTGCTCACCTGTAGCAATTCCACAGTAACAAGTAAGAAGGTAGAATTCAGCAGTGTTACTGCCCCATGGGGCAATGATGTACTTACTGCAGAAAACACAGCAGATAAATGTGAAGAAGTGCTTTCAAAATCACACAGTAGATGTGGTATCTTTGAGACTGAGGCACACAGAACAAAGACTGATTTTGCTTTAGAGACAGAAGAGTTCAGAAAGCCATGGGCTGAAACAAAAAATGACCAAGTCACTAAGGAAGAGGAATTCAAAGCACATCAGAGCAGAGAGGAAGAAGGTGATATAACTAGAGGAGTAGCAGTGGAAACGTGCAGCATAAGCAATCTGTGTCAGGGAGATGGTGCTGCTGATGATCTTCAAGGACCCAGCATCATCACCTCTGAGCAAGTAGTAGGCAGGGAAGGAACTGTAGGCTGTAATGGTTCAAAGGAACAAATAGGTATTTGTGAAGAACCTTCTCCTAGGGAAGAAAATGAGGCCTCTCCTGCAGAAAACACAGCTACCTCTAGCAAAAACAGTGCATTGACTCTTGATGTGTGTGATGTCTTTAACTATTCTGTGAAAAGAGAGACCCACAATGCTTGTGCAGTTGGCCTAGATAATATAAGTACCTGCAGCACTAACAGCGAGGAAATGGATGAGAACTCATTCCACGGCCTGGGAAGTAACAGCAGTCTCCATAAAGCTGTGCAAAAGCCAACAAAGAATGGGAATAGTGGGAAAGCTTCCAGGTTTTTGGTTTTCTCAAAAATGACATCTTTCAGGAAAACTAAGCCTGCCACAGCAGAAAATCATGGAAGCAGTAGCTTCTTTGGCAGCAAGGCAAAGACAGAAGAAATGGATGTTGGGAAAGAAGATGAAGACACTGAAAGTTTACAGTCTTTCAAAAGTTGTTCATCTGGTTCTGCCTTCCACAGGAAGGAAAGCTATGCCTCTGAGTATTCCGATGATGATGATTTATTCTATGAGAGACCTGCAGGATTATTTAATAGAATGAGCCTGAGGAAGGCTTCTGGCTCTGGTCGGATACTGATGGAAGATACAGATGCAAATTCAACTTCTCTCACACTGGCTGCTGTCAGATATGCAGACGGACTAGTTTCAGGTTCATCTGAAAACAATGACAGTGAAGCGGTGGAATACCCTGGGATTAGAAAATCCTTCCCTGAAAATGAATACAAAAGAAACAAAAATCCTGAGGGCAAGAAGTTCAGGGCAAGATTGGCCTTGGCACACAAATCACTCTCAAGCTTATTTGAATCCAAGTCTCTAGAAAAAGAAAACACTGAGCAAAGTTCTAAAGTATCACTGAAAAATGAAAAGGAGAAAGCCAAACTTCGCCAGAGCACCTGGAAAGCTTTTCTAAAAAGCAAGGAAGCAGATGGACTAAAAAGGCCTGTCCTGGCAAATTTATCACCAACGCAGGAGAGCGTTAACACAACTAGAGGCCAACTGATGAGAACAACATCAGTAGAGCAGCAGGACAGTTCCAATGGGCACACATTTTTGAAAACAGAAACATCTAATGGTTCGTCAACAGACACCAACTATTTTGACACCTCTGTGGAGCCTGTTGATATTTCTTCACCTGCAGGTACGTGGAGAAAACGAACACAGTCACATGACTTGGGCATCAGATGCTCACAAAGTTCAGACTGTGATGAACACCAGGATGGCAACAATTTAAATACCTCTCTAGAGGAATACTGGATGAAATCTCCATTTAGTCCCACTGACATGCAGTTACCATTTAGTCAGTCAAGTCCGTCATGTCCCCAGCTCTCAAATTCTGAAGGTAAAGATATGCCCTGTAGGCCCATGAGCCCCAAACCACAGAGTCCACGATCTGCTTCTCAACGCAAGAGCTTCCGATACCCCGGAAGAATATGTGCCACATCAATGATCTCTCTTGGGAACAGCTCTGCAGCTGACAGCAGTTTGGAGGCTCCTGAGAGACCAAAGACACTGAAACCCAGAGGTAGTCTCTTACTTTCTGTACACTCATTGGACAACGAATACCAGAAGGATGACAGTGGGATAAGCAGTCAATCCCAGATCAGCTTAAACACAGCTTCTTCTATTAGTGACATTCTCAGAGATGAGGTGAGTTGTTGTCTGGGAATGATCAGATGGTGTTTTGTCTTTTGTTTTAATGTGGTTATGAGTTCTAGTGAAACTCTTTAATGGCTGAGTGAACACCTTGGTTAGATTGGTGCATAAATATTCCTCTTTGTCTAAGGTAGGTGGCACTACTTAGTCTTTGAATTTCTGCTTCTGTTCATGACTATGTAAATTGATGCTCTCTTTTAGGAAGGATTTATCACAGAAATCAAAATGAATAGAGTCATCACAACACTGCTAATGCATAATGTTCCTCAGAAAGGCTATGTAGGTTCCACCCTGTATTTAGCTGGATTTTACCCCTCTGGGATAAGGTAGAATCAAGCCTTGTGACTAGTGTATAGCAAATAAGTTTCTCAAAGTGATTGGCAATGTAGAAATCAATTTCCATTGCTAGCAGTCACTTTTTAAGAAGAAAAACCTTTTTTTTTTCTTTAGAGAGTGAGCAGCTGTCTTTCAGAGTACCACAAGCCTTTTGCAGTCACCCTTCCCCTTTAAGTGCCACTAGGAATCATGTTCTGCTCTTTCTATAGCAAACAGGAAAAAAAATATGGACTCTGTCTGGCTCTCCTTTTGGTGCTGCATTATATTCTAATCCCGGTAACAAATTAATTTTCTTGTGATAGGCCAGTTCTCACGGAAAAGAGTATGTCTTCAATAGAGATTTCTCAATTGCTTCAGGCCTTTTTAAAAGCAGAGACTTCCTCTTGTAATCCCAGACAGTATTTACTAAATTGTAAGTGGCCAGGAATCTCTTTTGGTGACTAAGCACAAATCACCGGAGAGACTGAGACTGATCTATTAGCTGAGATCCCAGAACCTGGATCAGTCATGCTACTTTTTTAATATTGCTGCTGATGAGTTTTGACATTAGGAAGTAGCAACATTATTTTGCTGAGTAGATTTTCAATGGCATTCAAGTGAGGGTATGAGATTTTCAGTCTCTTGCCACACCCCAGCCAGACACTTTTCAGAGAGCTCATAAATCTGGAACTGCATGATCAATTCTGCACCTGAGGGCTGGTTGTGCTCAACTCTAATGAACCCTTGCACAGCATTTGCTGAAGATGCTCCCCTTGGTCTCTCACATCCCAGGTTATATTAAATATGTAAGATACCCTTCAGAATGGTCTTACCATATACTTACTCCTACTTGAAGTTTTGTGTAAAACAAACAGAAAAAGATAGGTTGAAAAAGACACAGGAGGTCATCAAATCCCATCTCCTTCTTTAGACAGGACTAGTAGCAACAACAGATGGATAAAACTGTGACTGTCTAACCAAGTCTTAAAAATATTTAATTCTGGAGATTTTACCATCTCTCTGGGAAAGGATCCTGATGAAAATTTTCTTCGTATTTCCCAACCAGGACTTTCCGAACTAGAATTTCCAGGTTTTGTCTTGTTAGATTATCTGACATTATGAAAGCGTTTGGATCCATTATCCATGTAACTACAAAATTAATGTAGACTGCTGTTATATTGCCTTTAGTGTTCCCTTATCAGCTTGAATAAAACTAGTTCCCTCAACCACTCCTCACATACTCCCAGTGAAAGTTTTTTACTTGATTGTTTGGGTTTTCCTTTTTAGCTTATGCTGTGTGGATTCTAAAGAAGCATGTGGGTGGCAGTTTGAGCAGTGAGGGCTGTAGTACTGGAATTGCCGGGAAGAGAATTTGCTGTATTCCCTTCTGTCCTCTCTACTTGAAAATCTTTTGTTTTCATGGGTATCAACCTAACTTACAAACTTAACACCACATTCTGAAGAGACCTGCAGCTTTACAGCAGCCTAGCAAAATACAAGATAGTCAGAGTATGGAAGGCACTCTTAAAACATTGCCAAGAGATGAAGCCTGTCAGAGGATAAATAAAATCATTGACCTGTAAATTGTAGCTCAAAAAAGCACCTAGAAAAGAATGGAGAGATGGGGCGTATATAAAGCCTTTAAAAGGCAAGCCCACATTCTGGAATGTAGCCACTAGGAGCAAATGAATAATTACTTAAATTGATTGCTAGATTACAGAATTTAAAGAAAACTGGGAAAAAAATTAAATGGTATCTAAGCCATATAAAAACTGTTTAATTTTACTGATTCTTCTGGAGGCTGCATAATAGGTATCTCAGAATTTATAAATGTAGCTGGAGCCTAGAAATTGAAGCAAATGTCCCAACATCTAATCTATTCAAGCAGATAGGGGGTTTGTTTATTTCCATTTTCATGACATTGTGAAATTAAGTAGAACTACATTCTGTTCCATGGCCCGTGGGTTTTGGTAATTGAAGCTGTTTTTTTTCAGGTGTCTCTGGAAAATACAGCAGAGACAATTAAATCTATGTTGGAAAGACTTTATGCCACAAATACACGTATTATCTAAACACTAAACACATTCCTTATAGATGTTGCTAAGTAAAAAAGTCATAAAATTAAGTTTAATGGTGGCATTAAAGAAAAGTCCCTTTCTGTCCCACATCAATAAAGGCATTATAGTCAGACAAATGAACAGTTGTGAAGTTCCTTGAAGCTTTATTCATGTTATAATTGCTCACCCCTGAGGTCTCTGGCTACCACATGGGTAAGTCACCCTTCTGAGCCTAATGGAACACACCACAGCCCCTCTCTCATTACTTGCTAATGGCTACCATTCTCCAGATTATAGCCAAGACAAAGATCTTATGTTGAAAATAGCAGGATAGAACAACTCTACACAATTACCAATATGCCCATGTGGCAAGGTCTTCATTACATGTTTGCAACATGATTTTACTTACATAATCGTGATACTTAGGAGGCAAGAGTGAACTATCCTAATAGATCCCATGTTTGGGGTCTGTGCAAGTTCTTCTTGTTTGTCTCCAATATGTTGGGGTTAGGCACAGAATAACAGCAGGACACGCTTTCGTTTCTGCTTAGCATCTAGTAGATAAGAAGCATTTCTAGACTGTGGCATCTCTTGCCAGTGGCAATGAAAAATTGATCTAGGATTGTTGTTCAGTTGAGAATAGATAGAAAATGCCTGCAGTGCTTTAAGGATCTCATTGTTTGGGTTCTTCAAATGTACTGGAAAGAAATTGGAGAGATACTATTGTCAGGACACAACATTTCCTTGACAAGAAAGGAGATTCCTAAGATCATTCATTCCTTGATATTGTTATCTCCCGCCTTAAGTGTTACTGATTGTAACGCTACCTGGCGTAGCAGTTAGATGCCTCAGGGCACCTAAAGTTGTTCCACTATAAAAGCTATAATTTTGTGCAACCACATAGTAAAAGCACATGGGAGCGAAGGGCAAAACTGCAATTCCTTTCTCTCAGCCCAACACCAAGCAAATAAAACGGATAGCATAAAGAGCACCATCAGAAAGCACAGGGCTTCATATTATCAGAGCTGCAGCCATTTAGGAAGCATTTTCACCTTGTATAACTGAAGTACAGTGGGAAAAACAGACAGACAAGACTGGCCTTTATGCTATTTTCAGAGACACTATCTTTGCAAATAATACATGTATACAGACAGCGTGACCTACATCCCAGTAGTAACGTTATTGTAATATGCCATCTAGAATGAGGGTGAAAAGGACATTGTCCTGTGCAGAGAGAGCATATACTGCACTGTCTCAAGGGTAGCAGAACTGCTGTTTCAGGATGGAGTGCCCCTAAAGCTATGGAAAAGGTTGAATGAGTAGGCAGGCTGGCTTCAGCCAGCCAGCACTCTTGGGGAAACATTTTTCTCTGAACAGTTCTGCGCCTAGATAACTGAGTTTTGCCATCTTCTGTTCAAACTGATTTGAAGCAAACAAAATTTCCAATAAACAAACTGTGTGTTTTCGCCCGCTGTTTGTAAAACAGGAGTCCAAACAGCAATGTCAAACACCACCTGAAAAGAGTCCAAATGAGAAAGGGGTTCCCCATCGCAAAAGGAGGCCTCTCCTGGTTCCACCATCCCCACGCCCTATCTCCACCCTTGAGAACAAAGCCTGGAGGCTTTCCTTCCTTGCTCCAGATGAAAAAGACAAGGAGATTCCAGAAAGGAGGAGGAGGAGGAAGAGACCTAAATCCCTTTATAAGTGCTTCAGCTTCGATGATGTTTGGATGGAGAGGAACCAAAAAAGGAATCTAGAGAAAGAGAGACAGCCAGAGAGAGGGATTCAATTGCAACACCTACCAGAGGACCAGTTAAAAGTAAGAAACCGTACACTGTCCTCATCTGGCACTGTCTTCCTCTCTCTGCTCTGGCTTCATCTTTCTACTGTCATCATATTCCTGTCCTTCTACTTTGTCTGGTACCAGTTCTCTCTGCTTCTCTTTGCATCTGTTAGTCTGCGGAGGCTGATTATTTAAACACTAAACTTACCCATAAGTGGTGATTTAGAGGCGGTGGATGTTTCAGTTGCTGTGAGCAAGCAGGTCCTGCCCTGTGCCGTGCTGGACAATAGGATGCAAAAGCACTAGATTGCTCTGTGGGCTGAAAGACAGGGAGGACAGGGATGAAATCAAAGTTGCCTTAAATCAGTATAAATTAAGCTGATGAAATCTCTTTCAGTGCCCCGTGGCATTGCTGTATAGCTTTAAAAAGGGACTTATAAATTAGATTTCCCTTGCATCTGAGGCCAACTCCATGCTTTTGCTGAGGCAACTTCGCACTGTGAAGTGCCTAAGAGAATACTGCCCTTGGAGTTTTAGCTACCAGTAGTCTTCTCTCCACTAGGATACACTTTAAGGTTAGCATTGTGATTTTTTGTGACAAAATTTGTGACTGTTGTGACTCACACTGATGGCATCTGTTACTCTTGGATCCAGAGCTAAGGTCTGTTCCCTCCAGGGAGAGCCATGAATCCGTATCCAAGAGCCAAATTTAGTCTTCACACATGAAAAAAAAAAAAAAAAAATCAGGTAAAAAGGACATGAGATCAGAGGGACACTCCATGCACCTTCTGCTGACAATACCAAGGAAGCTTCTGAAAATGCCTGAAATTAGTCATAGATATTCAAATAAAAGCTTTCCTTGGGGGTTTCTGTTTTGGTCTGTTCTCTGTTTCCCTTTCTCTCTGTTGTCCTAGTTGCCTGTTTCTGGATTGTTTTGCATAAAAATTACAATGTTTGAGGAGAGCTGCTGCCACAATCCTGTCACCACCACTTCAGGATATGCGTGAGCTTTTGTGCACAAATAGTTCTGTGATGATGAGGGGGAAACACTGGCTGGACACAGCTAAGTTTGTGTGCTAGGGCTTGCAGGGTGAACCTCCTGCCACGTACCCGTCTGCCTGTTGAAGCCAATGGACACCTGGGACAGAAAGCCAGGCCAATCCCATAAGCTGGGTTTCAGAAGAACTGCCCACTGTTCTCTCCTGGTCAGACAAGGGACTAAAATCTGTGCTGTTTTGTATTTGGATGTTTTCAAAATAAAACATTGCCAGTTAAGGCTTGGGTGAGTGCTGGGTATGATTCTGTGATATGATGCCCGCTCTCTGTTCAGTGAGGATGCTTTCCTGACTCAGCCCCACTACTACCTATGTGTTGAAGATAATGAATAATGCTCCCAAGGCAAGCGTATACTATGATTTCTTAAAAGTAGAAATTGTGTTATTTTTGTACTATGCTCAGAGTTCTGAGAGACTGCTTAGTGCTGTATGGGCACAAAACAAGCCAGGGAAAATGCATTACCGGCTTAGTTAGGCTCACTGGTAAACAGAAGCCAGTAAAACATGCTAAAAATATTCCTTATCCATGCTTGACAAGCATGGATATTGATGGAAATATAGCCCATGCTGCAGGGTATGTTGGCTAGCACTGAGACCATTAGTGCTTCTAAGAGGAGCAAAGGGTTACCCCAATAGCTTTCCCTAGAGCCATCAGCTTACACAGCTTGAATGCTGATTGACTGCACATTCTGGTGCTGCCAAAACCCAACTTCTTTAGGCATTTCCACCCTTATTTTCTGGTGCAAACATACCTCTAAATTGTGATCAGCTGTGTAATGGGTAGCAGCTGCCCCAGTTCCCATTGAGGTATCCTCCCTTAACATCTTTTTTTTTTTTTTTTTTTTTTTTTTTGGGGTGGTGAGGGGCTGAATTGCCTTTCTGGTTTATTCTTCTTTGTGTAGCACAGGTGAATAGAAACAGAAAAAGGTTCTGAATACAAAATACTTAGCAGTATAAAGCTATTTATTATTATTCTTATTTTTACTATTTCTGTTGATTTGAGTGTGTTGTGTATGTTATTGATACTTTTTGTGGGAAGGCCAAATTTGACTGAAACAAGTGTTGGGATTCAAGGGCTATTTCCAGTATGCCCATGTGAATGCATTCTTTAGCCTGTAGTTTTTACTTACAATAGTCAACATATAGCTTCTTTTTCCTATTGTGTTTTATTCTTTTTAATGCTCTATTCCTGTAATAGTGCTGTCTTATTCATACCCTCATATGCGGTGGGAGTGCTGTCACAAGCTGCAGTGTTTGGGGGTAGTTTTAGAAGGATGCTAAAATCCTTCTAATAAGGAGAAATAAATTGTCACAAAAGAAGCTTTGTAAAATTTTCATTGTCTGTTGTGCTTTTGCAACTGAAAGGAGGTAACTGTATGGAGCTTTAGATCTGAAATTGCAAATCTGATGTTTCCTGACACATGGCTGTCTTGGGATGTGTGGCTTCAGTTCTGTTAATTCATATTGGGTTAAGTCAGGCTCAGGTCAGCATACAAGGTGATGTAACGCTGCAGTGTTGTGGAAAGAAATGTATAGGGCACACCAGGGATGAACAGAGGCAAATTCTTAACTTTCAGTGCTGACTTCTGCTACTACTCTGTTGTTCAGGTCCATGTACACAAATGAGTTTAGTGGCTATATGAAGTTATCCTGAAGGCTAGCGGGATTCAGATGCAGACAAGCAAGAAACTAGCTTTAAACTAAAAAATAACCACTGCAATGGTAATGCTAAATAATTCTATGTACTGGGCTTTGTTTTGCTCAGGCCCAGTGGGTTGCTGATTCTGCTTCAAATGGAAACAATCTGTGTAAATCCCTAGAGTCAAACTCAAAGCTTGACCCAGCTGTCCCTTATAATGAAATGCTACCAGTAACAAGCTGAGCAGCCTCTAATGTTCTACTTTAAAGTGTTAACACTTAGCAGGTTGTGGCAAACCTCTGAAGGTTGCATCTTCCAAAGTGGAATAAGAGAAACTCACGTAGTTATTCATGAGTCTGCTTTCTTTTGCTTGGCTATTGGCTTTGCCTTTCACGTGGTGAAGAGTTTTGCCACGTAGCCTGGTATGCTTTTCCTTTTTCCTTTTTTTTTTTTTACTTATTTATTTTTCAAAAAGCTTTAGAAACTCCCTAGCTGGAACAGACACAATGCCCCAAACAACTAATGCATGTAATGGTGATTTACTCTGGTTTGGAATTTATTTTTGCAAGAATTGCTTTAGTGACATCTCCTAACTGCCTGTCTGCTACTATCCTTCAATTTTCTATCTTAACAAAAAGTTAAAACCTGACTTAAGCTTGAGGCCTCTCGAGTGTATAGTAATAAAGCACAGACGTGGCTTCTACATGCATTTGTTAAAACACAGTTTCTGCACTGCCAAATTAGAGAGATTCCTAAAAGACTCATTGGGGACTAAGCCCAGGGGAGTATAGTGCAGCAAAGCTCTGTCATCTATTTTGAAAGAGAAATGAGAAGCAGTGAAAAATAGATCTTTAGCTTATTGTCCTGAGTATGGCTCCTGGAAACCTGATTTTACCCTATCTGAAATAAGAGAAAATCAAGTTTTGCTGTGCACTCCTATGGTTATGAGCATTATGGACACCTCAGATACACTTCAAGAGGGTAATGAAGATACTTTGGAAAGGGGATTGAATGAAGTAAGTCTCCTCCTTGACAAAGTACAGGAACGCAACAGAGGTAAATGCCTCTGCCAGGGACTGAACTGCTGCTTATGAAAGCATAGAAATAATCCCTTTGAATCTATAGCAGAAAATGTAGAAGAGGGATCTTTACTATATTCTTGTCCCTCCTTTCCCTTTCCTTCCTTTGTGGGGTGGGGAAAACCCTGCCCACATTTGCTGTCATCTCTAGAAGTGCTTCTTCTCCTGCCTTTGGATTGTACAGACCCGACTTCCCTGCAGTAGAAACCATATGATGTCCAAACCTGAAACTGTTCTGATGTCTAGGGGAGTAGTAAGAATAAACCCTGCAGTTTTTAACTGAGGCGCATGCTGCCTCCTAGTCTTAAACAGAACAATATTTTTTTCTGTCACTTTTCATGTAACTAATCTAGACCCATGGTGTTTTCAGAGTTATAGCTCAGTATGCTCCCTGTTTTGCTTGATTTTGTTGTCTCTGGAATAGCGTGTGCTCCCTCTGGGGCTTTACTGTGATCTTCTAGACAAGCAAGCGCGGCTCAGGTTAATTTGAACAGGGTTTGTGCTGTCCCTCTGGAGATGGTGATTTACGACAAAATATTGGCTGTGTTCTGTTTCTGGAAAGTAAGTCTAGGAAGAATAAAACAAACCAGGTACAGAGCAGGAGTGTTCTCAGCTGCTTGGGCAGTATGTGGCTATTCAGTAGGCTGTTTGCTGTTTCATTTTGGAAGGATGTTTTGGCTAATAGCCATCTTCTAAAGAAGAGACTAGCATCTAGGCTACTCAATGGACTTTATGCTGATGTGATATGGTGTGGGCTGGCAGGGAGGAGGAAGGATCGTAGATAAACTGTTGCATCTCAATATCCTGAGCTCTCCCTTCTGTGAAGGGCAATGATGTTGTAACTGAATGTCACAGTAGCAGAAGGAAGGGGCAGTAGCCACGCAGAGGTGAAAGATGGCTATGCCCATGGAACCAATGCTTGCTGACCTGCTGCTTTTCAGTTGGTCTCCCAGTCACTTGCAGTCACTGATGTTTGTTTTCTGTGTTTCCAGCCATAGGAAGGGTATGGGTTGGAAAAAAGAGAGGGAAGAAAAAAGTAAGAAAAGCGTATCTGCATTATGTACTGCAAGCTTCAGTGACTTTGATTGCAGTCTCTATCACTCATTGTCAGATGATCTATAATCTTATAGTGTCTTGCTCAATTTAAGTGATTTCTTGATGACATACCAGGGGAATGTTGGTCTCATTTCCCTTTATCGATGAACCATTGTCTCTTGGTGTGGCGGAATTGTCAGAAAATGTTGGTTTTGACACAGAAGAAGTATAACAGCCTTGCTTACATTTTGGATTTTGTTGGCGTATTTCTTAAATTTTTTTGAAATGAACATCTGCATGGCAGAGTCGGTTAGTCTGGGTGGTTGGAATATTTTTATGACAGTAAAATTTATTAAAAAAAATATTAAAAAACAAACAAACAAAACTAACAACAGGTAGAGGTGAGAGAGATCGTATTTGTACCTTTAACTGAAAGGTAGAATGTAGTGTTGGCTGCATCCTTTATGGCTATGTACTATTACTAAGAAATCTCTGAAAGGGAAAGGCTTATTTACTCTTTAAATACCAAACCAGCAATTATGAGACATAAAGTTGTAGGAAGCAAAGGTTAATTAGTTCTGTAGGTGGTGGTAGGATGACTTCTTGTGGTGATGTGCTTCATAGGAAGGAGTGTGACTTTCTGTGAATGTAGGTATGCATGGTAGTATGTGAATGTGAATCCAGTACCTGGTTAGCCTCTTTCTCCTGTTATTACCTTGTAGCTTTCCCTGCATTCTTGCTGTTTTCTGTCCTCTCTAGCCACCCACATGTGTCTACTAACGGACTACTTACGTGAGCAGGCATGAGATGGGGAAAGAGGTGCTCTGTGATGAATACTGTATTTTGTCCTCCAGGGTATGTAAGTTTAATGTCTGATGTCTTTGTTTTCTATCTCTAGTTGCAGGCTGGAATGAGTGCATCCATCACATCTGCTGGTGCTCTTGACATCCTACCACTGAAACTGCATCCATTTTCCCAGAGCACTCCAACAGGCTTGGACTGCGTGGGCTGGAAACGGCGCATCTCTGCTCCTGGTGTGTACACTGGTCTTACTTTGACATGAACTGCAAGAGAATTAAATTCTGCTTTATTGATTATGGAAACTGAATGATAAGCACTAACCTATTTTCACTGAGTGTTCCATCCATATCTGAGTAGAAATCCACTTGAAGGCAGTGGTTAGCTTTAGAGTAAAGAAAAGCTCACTAAAGGCAATGATAGTGCGGCTTGATGTAAAAACACTTGTGTTGTCCCCTAAGAATTCTATCTTACCTGGGATGATGTCATACATATCACACTTTTGAATTAGGTTTCTGTAGACAAATCAGACTCCCTGCTGTATATTTGCTGGAGAGCACTACAGTAGTTACAGTGAGGTTCTTCTCAAGTTGCTAATTAGGCACTAAAGTAACTAAATGATCCTCTAGAGATAGAATTTCCTGTACTTTAAACAAATCATCTTAAAGAACAAGTATGCTCTATTTTTACAAGGAATGCACATGAAGTATGGTGTCTGCTTCATTTTCAGTGATTGACACTTTTTTCAGTGTTAAAATATAAGAAGTTATTAAACAGTGAGATGTATTTTTGCTAGGTTTTTAAGTTCTTCATCTGACAGTGCTGACTCAAATCCTGCAGATATCTCTATTATAGAACCTTGGGGTGGGATAAGAAAAACAGGCTACAGAGGAGTTGTTTGGTAGCTAGGAATCTAGGCAGGAAACACCAACTGCAGTTGGGTGCCAAGCTGCCATTTCTGCCTCAGAAAGTCTCTTTGTACCATTCATTAAGCACTACTGGAATTACCTAATTAGGGAACCATAACTCTGCTAATTACGTCAGAGTTGAATGGTCAGAATATCTTGTCAAGCAAAACTGTTTTGCTTTCTGACGCATAGTACAACTTGTGCACAGAATCAGGAGGTTTTGTCTGGAAATAAGAAAAAAAAAATTACTTATCATGGTGTCAGGAGCCCTGCCTCTGCTCTCTCAGCACTGAGAGCTTTGATCATTTGCTGTCACAGGCATTTGGTGTTGCCCCCAACACTTAGGACCAGCTCTCTGGCTGAATTTTAAAAGCTGCCACATCAGCTTGTGGAAATCCCAGATGGAAACCTGTCATTGTCAAGTTGTCTGTATGTTTCTGATATTAGCTGAAATCCCTAAGTGCCACTGTCATAGAAGTAACTTCTGAGTCACAGCTGATACAAATTTCATAATTCCCAACTGGGACCTGGGAGAGTTAATATAATGTGTGTGTGTATATTTATGTGTATGTTGTGTGTATGTCTCGTTTTCTTCCCCTCCTTCCCCCCAACACTCACACATATATATGAGTGTTGGGGGGAAGGAGGGGAAGAAAAGGAGATGTGTATGGACTAACTGGTAGTCCTGTAGCTGTCTATATGCTATCTAGAAATGGGACACTTGGTTTTTCACAGTCCCCTCTAGTTCTTCAGGTATAAAAAGATAGCTGACATGATCCCGGCCCAAAAGGTGGCACGCATGTCTGTGAAACTTCTGTCATGCATCTACTTATCTACTTATTACCTGAGCACAAGAGTACAGCTGGGTACAAACTTACTAATTTAGGTGAGACCACCTGCTCCCAACTAAAATATGTCATGAGTGCTGGGAGAAGGGCTTGATTTTTTTAATGCCATATCTGCTGTATTCATTAGATTCCAAGACGAGTCACTGGCACTAGGGCACTGAGACATTGTTCTTTCTACCTTTATGTCAAATTGGGAGAAGTGAGATGGGCTCAGACTTGTCATAGGGATATTCCAGCAGTTAGAATCAGCCATGCTGTGGTTCTCTTGATCTCTAATCAAGTTTTGCAGACTACCTTCCTGTTACCACTTCTGTCTAAGGCAGCCACTTGAGAAAACTGTAAGAAACCAGTAGATGGCTCTAACATCTGTGAAATAAAGAGCAGCTGAGGTGTTACTAATCTTCTCTATTTAGCAAAGATTGACAGAGTCTTGAGCCTCCTCCAGAGAAACACAGAGGTTAAGTTAGCAAAAACAAGCAAACAAAAAACCAGCAAACACACACACAAAAAAATGTGCTTAATCAGGAATGTTTAAACATTTTGGAGGGCCCTTTGTGGCTTTACCACATGCTTTGGTAGGTACTGTTGGTGAGTATCATGCATCTTTTCCCTGTAGTTGTCTTGTTATGCCCATGTCTTCAACTTGCACCTTGCAGGATATATCTGTCCCTTACTGCCTGACTTACCATCCTATTTGAATAAGTTAGAGTGAAAGACCAGTCTAGGACGCAAGCCACTTTCTAATGTAGATATGGGAATGCTTTTCTACCTTTTGGGCAGCCTCTGAAATCTTGAGACCATTTTACCCAGGACCCACCAGGAAAGGGCTGACAGGGAGGTCCCACAATTACAGGAAGGAGCAATAATAGGGTAATAAGGGTTTGGGTTTTAAAGCAGTGGATCAGCATGTTTGTCCTTTGGCTGTTTTATGTATTCTGTCCTTCCCTATCTCTCGACCAAGTCCAATATCTGTTTATTTGCAACATGAAGACATTGCCTAAGATTGGGATGTGTTGCTGGGAAGCTGTTTGATGGATGTAGCTGAGACTGGGCCCAAACTAGGGGATGGGCAGTTTGGGGATGAGAGCTACTAGCCCACAGGTCCAGAGCAGAGGGAGGTGCCATTTCCAAGCTTCTTCATCAGGGCTTACCAGCCGGAGACTGTCTCAAGGTGACAGATACATGGAATTATCGAAGACTTGGATTTGTAGTTTCTAGAAGTCCCATCTCTTACTGCTTCCTGTGCTTCTTAGCTAGAGACATTTCTTACCTTGTACCTGTCCTGGTTACCTTCTAACAGATGTTTTACCCTTGCTACCTCTAAGAGAATCTGTGAAACTTTTGGATAGGGTCATGTATGACCCTTAAACCTTCAAGATCTGTTGTCTCCCCATAATAAGAGGAACTCATAATTAATGTATTACAAGGTCTTATTTGTCTCGTACAGCTTTGATACAACAGACCTTAAGCCTGTATTATTTTAAATCATTATTTAAATGCAGGCTGAATCTTTCTAGCAATTTTCCCTGTGTCTTTAAACAGCCAAAGATCTTTAACTTTCCTGCTATCATATATCTACAGATGCCCTGGTGTTCTGCTGCTGTGGTGGTGTTGGTTATACCATCCTGAGATGCATACATTTGTTCTGGCTGGCCTGTACTAATGAACATACTAAGGGCCTTGGAAATCTTACATGAGCAGTAACAATAGGCAAGCCAAGTTCTCAAAGTCTTCTGTTGAGAGCCTGGAAAACAGTGACCACTTAATGATTCTGAGTTATCCTCTGGCCTGATTGGTATAACGGAAAGTTTTTCTCAGAGGCAAAAGGACTGTTTGTTTACTTAACATCATGTGGCCAACTTTCATCTTATTTTCCCAGCTATAGATGGGCTGTTAAGCTCACACTTGGCAACAGTTAATGTGAAGATGTTTGACAACCAGTGGAGAAATCTATTCAAGAGGGAAAATATTAGCTTCAATAACAGGACTTCATTATGTTTCATAAATATTTAGCAATCCTGTTGTTCAGAAAAAATAATAAGCAGAACTATTTATTCCCATTTTTGTCATTTTAGTTCTTGAAGGGACACAAAAAAGAGCGGTGTGCAAATATGCAGAAATGTATCATTGCAGCTGTAGCATGAAGCGTCAATACCATTCTAATATTAACCCATGGAAGTACCATTGAATTTAAGTGGCTAAAAAGCAATCACTTTGTCTATTGTATTTTCACAGATATTGTATTAATCACAGATATCTTAGACCTGCTAGGTCAGCCTTGATTCTGTTTAATCACAGCCACAAATATTTGCACTCTGTGAGGTCTCTGATAACATGTGCTCACTCAGATTTTCATCCAACATAAAAATCTGGGCCAAGAAGTGATGGCCGAGTTCCTGAAACTTTGTCATAGCAGGTTGAGTGGGATTGTATATCATAGAATCATGTTAGCTATTGAGGTAAAACATTTAGCGTATCGATAAAAACTTTTTGTGGAGTAAAGAGTGAAAAAGTAGATCTTAGCAAATCCTGAATGATCCTGGCAATTGCTGTTCAAAAGGTAAGAGATGACAGAGTCTAAAGCATCCAGCACATATTAAGGATCAGGCTGTTCTAGGCTGGGGCTACTTTGACTAGCTTGATCAGGCTGCACAGTGAGATCCCTGATCTGTAATTGGAGACAGTTGCTGCTACGGCAACTTTAATGGTACTGTCTTCTCTATCAAATTTCACAGCAAAAAGTCAATGTAGATTTAAAAAAAAAAAAAAAAAAAAAAAAAAAGGCTATGAGGTCTGTACTGAGGTGGAACTCCTCTCTAGTGGGTTGTAGTTTTAAAACTGATTTAAAATTGTTATTTCCAAAGCTTGGCCTTGTAGTGTTTTTCCTTTGCACTAGAAAATGCCTTTCCAGTGCATATGCATACTGCAGTAATACCTTCTGCTAGGATTACAGCACCATTGTCTCTGGCCCTGAATAAACATCTTTTGGTCTTTGCCAAGTGTATTCAGTTCAGAGAGTGGGAGGGTTAGCGGAAGAACAGATAGTGTCCGAAGCAGGTTGGGGGCAGAGCAAGGGCAGTTGCTACAGGGTCTCTGTGAATACTGTCTGGTTTTGTACTTCAGCCAAGAATTGATAAAGCTACTTGGAGTTTTCTTCTTCATGTATCAAGCATAGATTTGAAGGAGCAGAAGTAGGGTAGCTGGTACTGAATTGTAGCATCTTAGTGCCTCTCATGTCTAGGGACCTGCACTGTCCCTTCCTCTTCTCTATGTTCTAAATCCACCAGACAGCTGCGTTCATCTCTGTTGTTTACACTTTACTTACCTTCTCCCCTGTTATTATAATCAGGCAGTGTTTCTCTCAATTTATACTTTAATGCAGTCAGTTCTAAAGGCCCTGAGAGGACTAGATCAATAGAGAAGAATGGTTCTACTGCAGTCAAATGGAGAACACGTTTCCACTTCTGTATTGGGAGGCAT